CAGTCCGAGCAGCGTTTATTTATTTATAAACTACTATTATGTTGTAACTAGGGTGATATATTGTGCGACTAGTATGGTGTAACTAGGGTGATGTAACAAGTATGATGTTTGATAAAAAATATCACAAATCAAGACAAATTGCAACAGGATCACAAATTTCCAGATATAATATTGTGCCTGTAATACGAGTATCAGTTTGTTTTGTTTCATTTCTAATGTGTGTTCTGCAAATTTTCCTTCTCAAACATCCAATTTGCACTTATTGGTGACTGTAGTTACAAATGTCAGCCTGACTTGTTTGTGATTAAGTATTTTTGGTCCCCCACCGGACATTGATGTGTCAGAATGGGGGGGGGGCTGATAACTGTGGTTATGTACACGCTGCCATATCTCTGACATGCTTTTTTATTTCTGTCAAACTTTTTATGTACTAAGTATTACACCGGTACTTTTTATTTTCTGATTCGTGTACGTTGAAGAGGCACTTGTGTTCACGAAATAGGTGAAGAGAATGTTGCCGTTTCTTGGCAACGCATTGCCTAATTTGACTTAAACTTTACATATATTGATAAACACAATTTCACAACCAATGTGTATTGAGAGTGTCTTTTAGGGTCAAAATACGTCATTGTATGTTCAACCTGATTCAGATAAAATGCATTGGTAATAATTGTTATTTGTGAAGAAGGACTTATCAGAAGTACTTGGATATCGGTAAAGGGCGATGGTCGTCGCACTGCGCATGTCCGACATTTGTGTTGATAAACATTTATTTTTCCATGATCCAATGCGCTCTTCCAATGAAAATCCAAAGCATGAGGTTTGACCTGGGCGCGACTTGCATTAATTCCGCTGGTGACTCCTTCGATACCTTCCAATCACCTAAACAAAAAACTAATTAAAGCTTGGTTACGTCTCAGTTTGTACTCGTTGGTCCGCGCAACAGTTAAAGTCGCCATCTTTGTTTATATGATACCCATATATCTCGCGCATGCATGGTGCGACGACTACCTTCCTTTAATTATGAGCTTGTGAATAAAAGCACAAACCTGCAATGTATAACTTCTACCCGTATTAAGTGCATGTATTTATTTTATCGGCAGTGTTGCATGCGTCTCGACACACATAAAATAACAATGACATCCTGAGTACCTTCTACCGAAATCTAGGCGATGTGTATATATATAGCAGGAAGAAAGTCAGCTAGCGTACAAGTCTCTGTATTTAGTTTCAAGCCGCATTCAAGGTAGCTGCCCCCATATTATAGAAAGTATCGGTAGATTAATAGTATTTATTCGATTATCAGTTGTACGCCAGCTGACTGTGCAGGATCATGAAGTGTATATGATCACAAAACAGCTGTCACTAATCCAGGGCTGTATGTATGCCTCAATATATCCTATCATTATATCGGGTTTGTCCTATGATGTATGGTGTACATATATCATCTGTTTTAAGCGGTCATATGCAAAATAATAGACCTATAATCTTCTGACGGGTTCCTTGAAATGTACCAAGCTGCATGTTAACTTGCAGAAAAAATTGGTTTGGATAGAGTAGTCATGGACAAAAAACCACGACATGGCAAAAGATCAGTCTACAGGGCAAATGCTGGTCAAGAAAACCAGTTAGCTGCTGATTATTATAGGATAAATGTGGTTTATCCATTGTTAGATGTTGTGATAACT